TTTTCTATCTTTAAGTAATTATATATGTCTAAGAATAAAATTTTTTATTTAATCCTTTAAACATGGATTAAACCGTCACAACAACAAATTTTGAAACCAACTAAACTCAGTTTCAACCATAGTTGAAAATAGATTTTAAACCTTAATTACTTGCTAATTAAATTTCAAGAATTTAATCGTAATTTAAAACACAATGCCCTGACAATCCCAAAACAAAATTCCAATAAGATTGTCAAAACCCACAACAACGATTTCAATATCCTAAACCCACATATAACCTACTTTGATACCACATGTTAGAATTTTAAAGATCAACATACATAGAATTTAGAATATCAAAATCTAATAAAATAAATAAATTACGTACCTAAATCTCCATAATCAATATGTTACCTAAGAATCTTTGAAGATTTTCAAGAATCATCATAATTTGGAATCTTATAACAAAACCTACAAGGCAAATATAGTTAATATTTTGGAATTTAGGTCTTCCTCTCCCTATACAACTTCTGTATAGTGATAACTAATTAGTCATACAACTCCGTAATACTATTATTTATAGAGGTAGGGTTTTCTAAATGGGAGAGAAGATCTAGCCCATTATAATAATTTTTTAAGCACCTCCATCAAGTAGCTCACCTTTGATTTTAGACCCTACACTTATTCATATCACACCATATAAAATTGAGATAAAACCTAAACTCACTTGAATTATATAACTTTATTTGGTTTTATTAGTTTTTCATTTGACCCAATTTTGAAAACCAAATATAATCAACCGAAACCCACATAAAATTTTCAACAATTAAATGTCAAATAATTCTCAATTTAAATGACAAAAAATACCATTCTATTATTTCTAATGACAGCAACTCCCCATCGTTGCAAGTGGAAGGTAATTGATAATGATTGTATTGTTTGTCTTTAGATGAAACGAATTCCAAATTAGAGAACAAATAGCTAGAGAACCTGCTTTTAAAAATGATAAATTTGAAAGTAATATATAATATGTGATAATCTTCCTAAATATTATCAAAAGTTAGATCTTTACATACATGAGTAGAATTTACCATCCAAAATTATATCAAGTTCACGAGTCTCATTGAAATTCTATGTGCCTTAACCCAAGACACCGCAAGGCAGCAATATTAAATACTTCATTTTCACATAAATGGTGCGGCGCTTGCCAGATAATGCAAATCTCCAAAACTTCTGTATTTAAAAGTAGGAATCATACATTCCCACCAAATGTTTATGACTTGCTCATCTCTGATTTGAGCTAATTGTGTTGATGCGTATATGTGTTCTGCTCATGATGAATTAAATTCACTTTAAAGATTAAAAACATAAAAATGAAGGGTTCAACCCACTTCTCTCCAACATTTGTAACATGTTAGAAAGAAAAAAAAAATTCACCTGGTTAATTCTTGAATATATTTAAGAAAAATCAAAGAACAAATGAAATTAACAAAACAAAATTTTTTACTAACGATCCGTTAATTTAAATAAAAAAAATATAATTATTTTAAAATAAATTTTTGAGTTTTAATTTTATAAACACAAAAATAAAGTTTTTTAGAGAAAAATCATTATCTTCTCCCTTTCATTCATTCTTCCTCCACCATCCAAACATGTGCAAGAAGAAAGGGCAAAATGCCAAAATTCTTAGTTGTTTTCCGACTGAACACAAT